CTGATGAAAGAACTTAGCGAGTCTTTGGTAGAAATGTTCCCAACTGTCAATAATTTATTGTGAGGACGCGATACAATTTTCCTGTTATTTTGATGAGCTAGTAGCGTAACTCAAATCAGTAGTTACGTCACTTTATTCTGATGAATTATATTTATCTGTTAATCGTTTCGATTTAGGTGGATTATTGCCAAAGGTTTTAATAAAAGAAAAAAAAAACACTTAAAATTAGGTTACATTTTATCTGTTGTAAATCATTGTTACGGAAATATAGATTAGATATATTTTCCTTTCCCGCTCAACATAACTTTTATTAATTACTGAATTAGGCGCCTTTTGTACATTTATGTTTTTTTTCTGTGGCGTTTATGTTACCCTTACCTATCCCTAATCCTTAAAATACCCTCGGGCAGTAAAAGGACTTTGTTGTTAGTATATATTAGTATTGTTATACTTATATATGTAATTTAATTAAATAAACTTTTCAGGGGGTTAGCAAAAAAATAAAATAATTTTTTTTTTTTTTTGAGGAAATTAGATTGATCTGTCACATTTCGTTCGAGAAAATCGGCTAGAGTCGACTAATTAAAATATTTTTACATATGAAGAAAGGAGATGGTCCGGTGTTGCGGTCATAAATAGGCTAAATAGTGGTAAAACTATTTTATTGAAAGCCAACGTTTCGACCCGACTTTGCAGGTCTTCATCAGGGAGGTGTGTTCATCTAGGAGTTTCACTTAGAGATGAGTTCTGAGTTAGGAGTTTCAGTTAGACCTGCAAAGTCGGGTCGAAGCGTTGGCTTTCAATAAAATAGTTTTACCACTATTGAGCCTATTTATGACCGCAACCCCGGACCATCTCCTTTCTTTAAAATGCAACGGTCAACTATTAAATATTCAATTTTTACATATGGATTAAAATATCTCATAAACTATAAAAATTGGGCCTGCGTTCTGTAAGCGAGTAAATTTCTCAGCATTTCATCCTCTCTGTTATAGGCTATAATTCAAAATTGTATCTTAACGCGACGCCGTGTTATGGAGGCGAACAGGAAAAAACATTTTTGAAAATCCAAATGATAAGGTTAGTTGAACATATGGATTAAATTATTTCAGATACTAAAAATCGAATCTGTATACTATAAGCGAGAGAAATGTTCAGCATTTCATCTTCTTTGTAATGAGCTATTACTTATAATTTATTTTATTATTCTCGCCTCGTTGATGTTTTCACTTATATCTTGTGGCCTAAAGCACACACACACCTTAGTTCTTATAAAATCGTCATGTTTTTTGCTTCTTTTTGTATGTCTTTGATTATACATTTATTTTTCTAATATCATTGAATAATGATTTATTTATTTTTTTATCTTTTCAGAGTTATCCACCTACGCAAAGAGGGTCCGACCAGTCTCCTACGACGAACGCTCACGCGCCAGAACCAGGGGTGAGTAATTATTTTTATTACATTATATATGGATTTATTATATCCATACATTGCTTTTTTAATATATGAATTAAATTAGATTCTGTATACGATTTTTTTCACTCTCTTCGGTCAACTTCGCATCAATAATCCGTGGTACAGACCTCTTTTTACCGGATTATTAATATCCTCCTGAAACTTAGTATAGTTTAGTTTCATCTCGTCGTAACCTACAACTATTTTATTTACGAAAACTCTTGGAATTGGGGCGTTATCAATCTAGAGGGGAGCAAACTTTATCCATTTAATTACGTACTATAAACTCGTAAATAGCGATTTGCTTCCTACTTACGGAAGATAATTTGATCACAAAATCTATAAAAAATGTGCCCTACAAAAATATTGGGCCGTTTGTCCTATATAACCTAGTTATTTTGACAATGTATGTGGTGTAGGTCATCGGCCAAACGGCTCAATATTTTTGAAGGCCATCTTTTTTCTCGATTTTTTGATAAAATTATCTCACGATCCAGGTAGAAACCAAATGGGTATTTACGAGTTTTTAGTACGTAATTAAATAGATAAAGTTTGCTCCCCTCTAGATTGAAAACTCCAGAAATTTTATTTATTCATATAAAATTTAACAAATAAGAATAAATAACTAAAATAAAACTGAAAATACTAAACTTCTATGCTAATTACTGTTTATTCTATAGATTTTCAAAACTGTATCTTTTCTTACATTTCATTAGAGCATATTAAAATATTTTTTTTATTTTTAGAGTTGCAATATTCTTTTTTGTTTCTAAAAACAGTATTTTGAATTTTTTTTACATCATTGAATCATTGAATTTTTTTACTATTATCTGATAGTAAAATACAGCCTTTTTTTTGTTTTTAGAAAGTTTTAATTTCTCTTTAGTTGTATAATATATATATATATATATATATATATATATATATATATATATTTTTTTTTTTTCTTTTTTTTTCCAATGTCATTGATCTGTTTTAGATATATTTAAATTGTAATTATTGTATTTAAACAGCTCAAATATTCAGCAAATTTCTTCCTCCTTTTCTTTCTTTTATTTCGCTATGGTTTTGGTAGTATCTTATATCGCAGTAAATACAGAAAAATAATTGTGGATTTATAATGGCAAATATAGTGTTATCCATTTCCAGTAACCCGACAGATGTACAGTAGAAGTGACTGAGGAGCTAGGGGGTGTATGGATGCCCTAGGGTAGGCAGAACTCTGAATTCCCTCTGGGCCTAAACCCTGGTATATGTCTACGTCGCTCCCCTCTCAAAATTATATTAATTTCTGCCTTGGCACAATCCGCCATTCCCCATTCACTGGATTTCACTCCACCATTTCTCTCATTTACCCCCTCACATTCGTATTTAATGGAGTTCTCTGTTTGTTTATTCCTTTTTGAGTACTCTCATTCAGATGCTATTTAAACATAATTTTGTTTAATTGATTATCCAATTGAAAACAGCGGTTGTATTTGTAGTTAATTTTCAATACGAAATATGTGTACAGTTTTTTTCATTTTTCGAAAAGTCTCAACTATTGGCAAAAACCCTCTTTTCAACAACATTTATTACCAGCCAAAAATCCATAACATTGGTACAACTCACTTAAGATAGGTGTTTTAATTTAGTTGTTAGCTCTAGAGGATGAGGGTCAACTTAAGTCTGTGGTGAGCCCCATCATTGATTATATTACAGATAAAAAAAAAAAGCAAAATACACCTCACAATGCTTTTTTGCCGTAAAAGGACTATTAAGAAGACAATGAAAATCCAAGGATTCAAGACAAAGATAAATAAAAAAGGGGCAATGAAAAAAAAAAATACGACTTTTACGTAATACATATTTTCTAAGGATATTTTAAGACCCTATATTCATGCCCTAAAGTTTAAAAAAAAATTCTCATAGCCAATTTTAAAATAATTTTTTTATTCTAAATTATAATACAACTAAAAACCACATCAACAAATATGATTACTAAATTAAGCACATGAAAACGAGACACTGAATAGTACTTAATTATTTGAAAAGTTAGAATACACTTCATTTAACACTAAATAAACGGTGAACTACATTAGCTAGATAAAGTAGTAGTGGAATTTATTTCCTTTTCATGAACCTCACAATTCTCACTGTGTGCTATCCTAAAACTTGTCCTGTTTAGTTTACTGTTCACCTAGTGAAGTGATTTATAATTTTTAACAATTATCAGTATAATTTATTCTCTAGTTTCCTTGTATTTAATTCAGTTATAATATGTCTTGTAAGTCATATGTTGTGTGTCATTAGTGTTTTAGGAATCATTTTATAACTACAATTGTCTTTAACTTTTTTTTTCTCACAGTAAGGCATGAATACGAAGACGTTGTATGGTAAAAATTTGCAGATTTGCAGTCGAAATTTTTTCGTATGGTTGTCGACATTTCAATCCATCATTAGGGCTAAAAATTAAAAATGACATCACAAATGTAAGATATCGACATAAGTCCATAAATAATCCAGTTGAATAAGATAAATAGTTCACATAGGTTAAATAAATAAGTTAGAATTACTCACAAAACAAGTATGGCTTCTTAGAATAATAGAATAAATTTCAATTGAGGAGATTTTTTGTATTCTAAACGAATTAGTGGAATATAATAAATTATACGGTGATATTTAGTAATTAAACACAATATGATAAATAAGCATGTGGAGGAACAAATGGAATCATATGACAATTAAATAATAAAAGCTATAACTTCGCCATTAACCCTAAAGATAACACACATGCTTGTGTCAATACGTCGATAAGCAGCATTTAAAAGAAAATATAGATTAAAAATCTCGTCTACACAGCATGTATTATTTCGTCATAATAGTCTTAACAAAAAATGCAGATCGTATGAGTTATTTTTGCAAATAATTTCTGTTTCTTGGTATAATCCTTATTTAACGTTTGAGGTATGCAACGGGTCTCCAAAACATTTACCGTAAGGATCATAATGACTATTTTATCAAGTCCCATGGGACACTCACTCCTGCTAAGTCCCTTGGTTTAAAACCCAGTTCATTCTACCAGCATACTCATTATTAATTAAAGTTTTGCTATTCATTGTTATTATGTATGTCTGTTATTATTTAATTACATTCTTAATTATGCAATGTAATTTACAGTGTGTCGTGTTCTGAAGACCCATGAGTATGCAATGGTGCATTACAATCTGTATTTCATTGTGGATGTTCATTCCCATGCATTCCTCTACCCACCTCACCCTATCCCATACTCCCCCTCTTTTATTGCTGTAATTATTTCCGCCTCTTTTTTTTATATATCCGTATCATAATTTATTGATGCACGCCACTGACTATCCGCGAGTTATAATAAGGTCGGAAAAAACTCAGCTTTACGAGTAGCAGTGTTTCTCAGACACGTCTTTTTTTTTTTTTCTTAGTATGTCTGTGAAATTTTTTTACGATCCTTGTCTTCTCGAAAACCATAATACGAAGATTTCTAAAGGGAAACTTAGTGCTGATGGCAGCGTACAAAAACCTTAGCCATGGTATTGTCGTGTTATGCTGAGACGCTTGGAATCGATAGGGACAACATCGGGAGAAGAAACTATAAAGATGAGGACTATACGCCTGCTTTACACCATACAAAGACGCATAAGACACCGCCATTACATCGGGGATCCGAGAGTATCGCTGCCATAAACCGGCGAGTTCCCCTTTCTCCGTGCAATATTGTTACCCCAACAATGGAACGGCAAATCCGAATCAATGTGCCCGCTATGGGGGCCCTGCGGCTTTATTTAACATCCATTTCCCCATTTCTTTGCGTCCTTTTTATTTCCCCTGGATTTTTTTCCTTTTGTTTATGTGTATTGGGTCGTTTGTTGCATTTGTATTGTCCTGTTTCAGAAAACAATGTGCATGCTAGGTCGGGGAGGGAGGATATCGATAGATTCGTAAAACTTAAACAAAATTTATTTCACAGTTATTTTACGTTTATTTATTTTACACTCATATTACTCAATTGCTCATAAAATAGACATTTTCAATTGAATCTTCTTTATAACACACTGCAATAAAATAGTTCGTGGTACAGACGCCTTTTTATTCAATTATTAACATGCGGCTGAAATTTCTTAAATAGCTTCATCTCATCGTAACCTACAAATATTTTATTTAAGAAAATTGGGGCGTTTTCAATCTCGAGGTCAGCAAAAAAAAAAAATCGTAATTACTTAGTTGCCTTCCTCTTTTATCGTAAGATAATTTGATAACAAAAATCGATAAAAAAGGTGACCTACGAAATATTGGGCCGTTTGCCATGGATAACCTCGTTATTTTGACAATTTATGGGTATAGCCCGACAAACGGCTCAAAATTTTTGGAGACCGCCTTTTTTCTCGACTTTGTGCTCAAGTTATTTTACGATTTAAGTAGAAAGAAAATGGATATTTACGAGTTTCTAGCGCCTAATCCAATTTGACAAAGTTTGCCAACCTCCAGATTGAAAACACCCCAATTCCGATAATTTTCGTAAATAAAATATTTCTAGCTTACGGTGAGATGAAGCTATTTACGAAGTCTCAGCCGGATGTTAATAATTCGATAAAAAGGGGTCTGTACCCACGGACTAAAAGATCATGTGCATATATTATGCAAATTGCAATGTAGGTTGTGCTTATGTACTTAATATGATTGGTATAATAAAGAACTTCGACATGCCAATTTGTACTAAATCGGTAGAATATTTATTGTTGATTGAGGATAAAAATAATTTATCAGAGAATTATCAGAAATGTATGTGAACAGGACATGTGTACTACTTCCAATTTATTGAAAATTATTCATTCATTTTTAATTTTTTATTTCAAATGGGCTCAAGGATAATTTTCCATCGAAAAGTGTGAGATTGGGATGTTGGAAAAATATAGAATCGCACATGTTTACAAAAATTATATCGCTCCTATATCCAAATTATATTTTTCTTATTTGTATATATTTTTTATAGCTCATATTTTCCCATTAAAAATTGAAATCAACAAATAAATTAATTGAAAATAGCAATATTGAAATTCTTCGCAAGTTGTTTTTTTACACCTTTAACCCCTCTACTGTTTGCAGTACTTTTATTTATTTTTTGTTAAAAAATCAATCAATTGATTTTTTTAGATTGATTTCGCGCTCATCCCTTCTTGTAAATACGGAATCACTATCTACGTGCCTTCAGACTTTCTGCTACACCCAATCTTCGACGTTGCCGTTTGGTATGACTTGACTGTTGGCGGCACTATTACCGGTAGGAGTACACTGGAAGCTAGCAGACACAGAGGGACACAATAGAGGCTAGGATCGAACGAAAAGCCTTATTAGATATGCTGTCAATTAACAGAGCTGCTAATCTCGTTAGCAGGGCTCCCTCGCCGTCTGCCTAATGAACCTCCTCTAATCCCCTTGTCCGCGCCTCCTCCTCCTATCTCGTAGTCCCAAAATGGAGTTTTATTCTTAGTATCGTGATTCCTCAGATACCAGATCCACAGACTTCTCATTTCTATTATAAATTCAGGATTTCTATAGGTTACGTTCTACACCTCAAGTTTAAGGAATTCTATGAAATTCCATAAATCAATTGAAATAAAATCGACGGCCATTTTAAAATATAGTCTTGTCAAGCAAGATACGTTTGCGCTTGTTTATTGCAGGGATAATACAATATGTAGAATTAGATAAAATTATGGGAATTATTGAACGTATCTATAATTTAAGGAGTTAGATAGGGTTGGGTGTGCGGTCACCTACGCTACATTTCGGCCTACGTTGTTGGTCTACACCAGGGCCGTCTTGGTTGTCGGAAGAACAAGTATGTACCAATAGAAAAAAACAAACGTTTTTCCATTTTTGGGGGAGGAGCCCTCATCTCTCTAGCCCGAAAGATTTGCCAGTTGTTAGGGGTTGTGGTCAAGAATCATACACATAAAAATTTGTAGGAATGTTTATTACTTTGTAAGTAGTAAAAACTCAGTGGGCGGGGTGGCCGAATGGGCTAATTCGTGTGCACTGCACCGCCGTTGCCCGGCAACCTGATACATAGACTTTGATAAAAAAAAAAAAATTGTCACGAGTTCGCGTCCCGGTGCCCGGAAGAGTTTTTAAATCCCCGCCCACACTCCCTGGCCCGGGAAAACCCCCATATATATACCCTTAAAGGCGAGGAGAAAAAAAATAGTAAAAACTCAAAATATATAAAATTGATATTTCAGCATTGCTTCCAGATAATCCATATTCCAGCATTGCTGGAATCTCCAGTTCCTTGGATTTATCCATAACTGCTTGACGAAAGCCCTGATGAAGACCTACGGCTTATGTAGAAACGTTGGCTATCTGATAGACATTACTACAAGTTATCGTTGTTACAAATGCTATTGAACTATTTAATTTGAATAATGACTTCTAATCCTGCTCTCCTGCGATTATTATTGTAATCATCTATTGTAATGTGCAATAATAACTAGTGTGTAATGTGCAAATTAAAATATCGTCGTTGTTTGGGTATAGTTGATATGATTTTAGTTAGAATTTTTTTTTTTTTTCGTTTCTTGAAAAGTGGTGATTTTCTTCAGTAGCTCGTGGGTTGTTATAGGCTACAGTTGTGGTCGTTTGGATCTCACTTCGAGATATCCAGATAGCGCGTGGTTTACTAACCGGACGCGATCACCTTCTTCATCGAGAGCTTTCCTAATGAATGATAGTTGACAATATTTTGCTTCAATCTTTCTTTGTTTTTTTAATGAAATAGGGGATTAACAGCCCTACACCCAATCCCCAAAAGGAGGACCAGAAGCTATAATGTAAAACATAGGGGTCGCCCACCTCCCTAGGAATCTCAGGGTAAGGACGTTACCGTCTCCATGCGGGAATCGAACCCGCGTCGAAGTAGTCGAGTAAGGCCTGGAATTATTAATTTTTAATTTTCTGTTATTCATTCCCGCGAACGGGATTTGGTCACTTAATATAATTTTTTTTCAGGCATCTTAATTCGTTCTACCATCGCGGCCCCACATAATTAAAATTATATTAAATAAAAAATATAGTATTGAAGTGATTTTAGTGTTTATAAATTCCCATTTAACTTAAAATTTTGATGGTGACAATTCGAGATGAAAATTGTTGTGTATCTACAGTATTCGGCACGGAAAACGAATTCCCTTCGAATCGTCCCGTGAAACCTGGTTTTTTCAGGCATCTTAATTCGTTCTACCATCGCGGCCCCACATAATTAAAATTATATTAAATAAAAAATATAGTATTGAAGTGATTTTAGTGTTTATAAATTCCCATTTAACTTAAAATTTTGATGGTGACAATTCGAGATGAAAATTGTTGTGTATCTACAGTATTCGGCACGGAAAACGAATTCCCTTCGAATCGTCCCGTGGAGTAAAGGAATTCGCCACCGCTGCCTAAATCGGTCCTCTTTTCAGATAAAAAAGAAAAAAAAGAGCCTCTCCCCAGAGGAACCCTTGGAGGAAACGAGATAGAAAAACTCGGAGGTAAGCTACACATTGTCGAGGTGGAGGCACCTGGTTTTGGACCCGGACTACCCCGCCCATGAATAAACCATGGCGTATTAGTATTCCGCCGGGAGTGTGTCAATAGAACAGCTTATCTTGCTCCCGTCTTCTCTCACGTCTTTAATCTTCCCAGATTTTTCTTCCCAGCTGACAACTTACCGTTTCGCTCATGAATTTTTAGTTAACATCAGAGGAGAGTCCCCGTTTTCGAAATCGCTTTATTTTCATCTGTTATCGTTGAATAATTTATGTGTTCGCTCTTCTATAGGTTCTGTGGTCTCCTTTATCGGCTGAATTGTCGAAATCTTTGAAAAGGTATTTCATCTTGATTTTTTGGAGTGAAAACTTCTTTAGGGGCGTTATGCACTTTTTTTTGTGGAGAGTGAATTAGATTAAGCCGTCAGATCTTGTTGTGTAAAGATCGGGTAAAGTCGGCTGGAGTCGACTAATTGAAGTGTTTTTGCATAGGTATTAAAATATCTCAGAAACTAAAAATCGGACATGCATTTTTGCGAAGGAAATGTTCATCATTTCATCCTCTTCGTTATGAGCTATCATTCAAAATTATCTATAGCGACGCCATCTTAGAGAGGCGAAAAGGGAACCAACAGAATCGAAAACCAAATAATAACGAGTTTTATTGAAGATATGGATTAAAATATCTCAGAATCAAAAATTAAACCTGCATACTGTAAGCGAGGGAATTGGTTAGTATTTCATCCTCTCTGTAATGGGCTATTATTTATAATTTTTATTTCATATTATTAATCTCCCCTTGTTGATGTTTTCACTTCTATCGTGTGGTCTAAAGCACACAACTTATTTTTTTTTTTATCTATTCATTGAAATTTACTGCTGTATTGAAAAATTACATTCAGTATATGTGAACAAATCAGCAATAATGATATGACCATCCTTCCTCTTTCATGAAATTTAACTCTTAACAACATATCATTTACATATCGGAAAAAAAAACTTATTTTAATATTTATTACTATACTATGTTCAGCAAAATGAGCTCACATAAACAAAATATAAACGCAATGCAGAATTATTAGAAGAATTGTTAACGCACATGTTATATTTAAAATTATACAATCTGGCAAAATAGGATTTTGTCTAAAATCTTAAAGCCAAAAAAGCAAAAAATATAAAATAGGCATTTCAAATAATACATTTTCTGATATGAAACGCGAAACTATTTTTTTTTTTCTAGTATTACATAGAATTTGATAAAATTGATGCCTATTTCATTTTACGTTTACCAATCACTAAATTCCCTCCAAATTTGAGCCAAATCAAACTTGCAGTTTTAGAGATATTAGCGTATCATGGAAAACACGTTTGTTGATATATAACAGAAAAAAATAGACAGAATTCAATAAAATTATTATTTCACAAGTACATACCTTTTATCCAACTTTAAGTCTAATTGGCAAATGTACAAAAAGTGCCTTTGCGTGTGCGTAAGCGGCACTGCTGGTTAGAATTTAATAAAACTGATGTGAGACCATCTAGACACCAACCCGCACAATTCCTGAAAATTTTATGAAAATCGGATAAACGGTGGTAGGTGATATGACCATTACATCGATTTGACTGCAGACAGATACCGAACCAAATTTGATCCTTGATTCCTGAAACGTAAAACGCGAGTAAAAATTTTCGATTCTGAGGACAAAATTGTTTTTACCCTCTCGTACAAATACAATACTTCTCTACCTTCGGTAGTGAGGAAGCAAAATTATATACAAAAAAAAAATAAATAAAATAACTTAAAGATAATTAATTTTTTTTTTTAATTTCTTTATTGAGTATTATAACAATCTGTCTCTTGGACATTGGTTATAGTGAGGTAGGATGACATTCACATTATATGTACAAAAACATAAAATAAATAGAAACACAATAATAATCAAAAGTATATACAATATATAATAAAATAACACATACAACAAAAATAACCTAAAAAATAAGAAAATTAAAACTAAGCAAAAAAAAAAACACATGCATACCTATATACAATCAGGCGAGGGAACTCCAGGAGAACCCTGCGCTACTCTCCCAACCGCGTCACTGGTACTAAAGCCACAAACCCTCATGTCTTGAGTGAAGAATCTGGCCATTGCCAGAACTCCAATTTATACAATCTACAAAAGGTCGCGAGACCACTGCCGTTTCAACCTTCTTGGAGGATTATAGGGATGGGAGGTGCTTGATAGGGATTGTGCAAGAGGATTTGGGTGGTACGCAAGGTTCTGGTGAAATTTGGAGAATTTTTCTGGAATAAGGTCTAGGACAAATGGGATGTTGAGGTCATGATGTAGGATTTTGTTGGTTACATAGAAAGGATCATCGACTATATAATTAAATTAAACATATTAATAAAAAAAAAAAAAAGAAGAAGCAGTCATACCTATATTCAATATACAATTCAAATTATTCCTCAAATAAAAAAAAAAATCATTTTATTTTATTGAAGATAAAAAAAAATAACAAGTACATTTAAGAATTGCCGGAAACATGGAAAATTTGGGAATATTGGACAAGTCGAGTTTCAATCGCGCTCAGTTTCCTCAAACCGATTATCGGGTATTTCCGCACAACACTAGTCTCAGAGCGTATCAAGAAATACTTAACTTTCCGATCGGCATACATGTCATTTTTAATCATTTTCTCCTATTCGATTTAGTCGCTTTGGATTATTCAACATTTCTTGTTGAATATTTAATAGTTGACCGTTGCATTATAAAGGAAGGAGATGGTTCGATGTGGCAGCCATAAATAGGCTAAATACTGGTAAAAATATTTTATTAAAAGCCAACGTTTCGACCCGACTTTGCAGGTCTTCTTCAGGGCTAGAACGAACAAGATACAAAAAGGAGAGAATTGTGGAAGTTACATAATATTTAT